TGTTTGGAGGTAGGTTCTTTTTTTGTGCTAATCGTTGTAAAAGTCTGGAGAAATGAGGAGAGGAGTTTGGGGGGGGGGATGAGGAGATGTAATTTATTGAATGTGTATGTGTAGATAAATTAGAGCTTCAAATCTTATTTGGGAGTAATCAATAATGGATATTTTGGGAAGTGCTTCAGGTTGTTTGGAAATGTTAAAATGTGTTTATGTGAGTACTCAAAAAGGCTTTATGAGGTGTTCGAAGTAATACTTGGGGTGTTCTGTTGTGCAGTTTGATAAGGTTGTGGATGAGAGATATTGAGAAAAATGGGGGGGGTCTCAAATGATGTAAGAGAGTCTGTTTTGAAGGTGTTCAAGTAAGTGAGTAGGTTTTAGGGCTTAAGTTAGGTTAGGTTATTTTAGGTTAGGTTAGGTTAGGTTAGGGTAAGTTAGTTTAGGTTAGGATAAGTTAGGTTAGGTTAAGATTTAGATTCGGATAAGTTAGGTTAGGATTAGTTTAGGTTAAGGATAAGTTAGGTTAGGTTAGGCTTAGGATATGTTAGGTTAGGTTAGGGTTAGGTTTGGATAGGTTTGGGGTAGGTATAGGACAGGTTAGGTAGGACTAGGTTAGGTTAGGTTAGTTGGTCGGTAGGGTTAGGTAAGGTTAGGTTAGGTTCTAAGTTAGGTAGTAATCGAGGTGTTTGATGGAGTTAGGATAGGATAGGATAGGTTTAGGTTAGGTTAGGATAGAGGTGTTTTGATGGAGTTAGGTAGGTTCGGTTAGGTTGAGGTTAGGTTAGGTTAGGAATTTGGTTAGGTTAGGTTAGTAGGTTAGGTTAGGATAGAAGTGGGTCTGGAAAGAGATGATTTTCTACCTTGGAGGGCTACCGCATTTCATGCCGTTGTCTGTCCTGCAGTTGAAGAAGGTGTTCATGATTATATTAAACGATACCTTGGGTTGTGAACGCATTACACAGAGTGGTGTTGTAGTGGGGGGGGGGGGAAGGGGTGCCCCACAATGCGTCCTCTCAGTGCGAGGAAAGAGTTTCTATTCGGAAATCGGTAATTATTTCTTACCATTGAGTGTTGATTTACCAATACAAGAAATATTGTGCGATTTTAGGATGTGAGACGTTTCTCATACTAATTTGGAAAAATATCCAAAAAAAATGGTACGTCGTTCCAAAGTAAATTCTGGAGTACTCTAATGTATTTTTGGAAGTGTTCCAATATATTTTAGGTTAGTTGGATTAGGTTTAGGATAGTTAGGTTAGGTTAGGTTAAGTTTGGTTAGGTTAGGTTGGGTAGGTTAGGTTTAGGTTAGGGTAGGTTAGGTTAGTTAGGTAGGGTAGGTTAGGTTAAGGTTAGGTTAGGTAAGTTAGGTAGGCTAGTTATAGGTTTAGGTTAGGTTCAGGTTTGGTTAAGTTAGGTTAGGTTAGGGTAGGCTAGGTGAGGTTATGTTGTTAGGTAAGGTTAGGTTAGGGTTGTTCGGTTAGAGTTAGGTTAGGTTAGGTTAAGTTACGTTAGGTTAGGCTAGGTTTTAGGTTAGGTTAGGGATAAGTTAGGAAAGGTTAGGTATAGGTTAGGCTAGGATTAGTATGAAAGTTAGGTTAGGTTAGGTTTAGGTTAGGTTAAGATAGGTTAGGTTTGGTTAAGGGTAGGTTAGGTTAGGTGAGGTTAGGTTAAGTTAGATTAGGGTAGTTAGGTTAGGTGGGTTAGGTTGTAGTTTAGGTTAGGTTAGGTTTAGGCTAGGTTAGGTTATGTTAGGTAAGGTCTAAGGTTAGGGTAGGTGTCGGTTAGGGTTAGGTTAGGTTAGGTTAGGTTAGGTTAGGCTAGGTTAGGGATAAGTATAAGGTTAAGGTTAGGTTAGGTTAGGGTTAGGTTTAGGTAAGGATAAGTTAGGTTAGGTTGGAGCAATTCACACTTCCACACCCGGTCACAACTGTAATGAGTTATTGGTGCAAATATTGATTGTTGAGTCACACACACACACACACACACACACACACACACACACACACACTTTAGTTTAATATCTTTATTATGCACCCCATACCCATCCTGTGGGCGGTAGTCAAAAGATTACAAAGGTACATAATGGGTCCAGTGACTTGACCCGAAAGTTATGATAGCTGAACTAATTACAAAGGTAATGAACTCCAGGTAGATCTAGTCACAATCATGGCAAGTTACAGAGGTAATGAATCAGCTTCACTCCTATACATGGTTACAGTCATGAGCAAATTACAAAGTAATGAACCACTGATACGTCCACACCTGGTCACAGTTGTAATGAGTTATAAATACAAACATTAAGTGGTTCATACACCCACACTAGCGCGCGCGCACACACATACACACACCAGGGCGCACGCACGGACATGTGCACACGAGCGTACAAATATATGCATACACACAAGGACGCACCCCCCCCCACACACACACACCAACACCCACACCCACCCTCACACACACCCACACACACACCCACACACACACCACACACACACACCCTCACACACCCCCTCACACACACCCTCACACACACCCTCACACACACCCACACACACCCACACACCCACACACACACACCCACACACGCACACACACACTTCGAGGACTGTTTTACTTCCATTGTGGCCCATTAATATTGTCCCCCAGGATGCGACCCACACTAGTCTACCAACACCCAGGTAACTACTTTGTGCTAGTTCAACAAGGACAGCAGACTTAAGTTTCCTCAGGACGATAACGGCAGCTGAAATACCACAGGGTTAAGTTAGGTAAGATTCGTCAGAAAACAGGATAAGTATTTCCTGACGCGGGTCTTAGTCTTCTGATAGTTGTCCCGTGGCCTGGCAGGTTACACACTTAACTTGCAGAGTGTCCTTGATTCAACCCTCGAAAAGGGTCGACACGTTGAGCATGTTTCTTTACACCGTTCACCTAGTAAGCAAGTAGGTACCTGGGTGTTAGTCGACTGGTGTGGGTCGCATCCTGGGGAACAAAATTTAAGGTTCACGATGGAAATAAGACAGTCCTCGATGATGCACTAACTTGAGTTATTCTGGGTCGCTAACCCTCCTAGATTAAAATTCCGAACAAAATTTTATGACCCCAATGGAAATGTCACAGTGTCTTACTTTTGTGTTATCGTAGGTAATTTACACGCATGTTACCCTGAATGATTGTACTTATGTGTATCTCTACCTAAATAAACTTAATACTGTAGCTGTGGAAAATTTTGAATTTTCCTGAATTTAACTTGTGTAAATATGAATAATGCATTTTAAAATGTGATGCTATTTGGACCCTTCGAGAAATTTTAATTGAAGGGGGGTGGCCCGGTGGCCTGGTGGCTAAAGCTCCCGCTTCACACACGGAGGGCCTGGGTTCGATTCCCGACAGGTGGAAACATTTCGACGCGTTTCCTTACACCTGTTGTCCTGTTCACCTAGCAGCAAATAGGTACCTGGGTGTTAGTCGACTGGTGTGGATCGCATCCTGGGGGACAAGATTAAGGACCCCAATGGAAATAAGTTAGTCCTCGATGACGCACTGACTTTCTTGGGTTATCCTGGGTGGCTAACCCTCTGGGGTTAAAAATCCGAACGAAATCTTATCTTATCTTAACAGCTACTAAGTGATGCGGATGGGAGATGCCATATTATGAATTTAATGCGTGAACGCTGGACTGAATTGTGCAATGTAATCAGGCATTCTTGAAGGTCAATTGGTGTATATCAGCCTCAATCTGTAATTTAGAAATTGCTGACACCTTCCTGCTGAAAAATTGGGATAAATAATGTGGAAAATTCTTACAATTCTGCAACAAGGATGAGAAAATAGAGGACTCCAATTTTCCCAGTAGCACACCTTAGCTAAGTGATGCTTACTTATAATGTACAGTAGTTTTTGCGTTGTCCATCGTAAATTCTAGCTGTTGTGGTAACGATAGGGTGTGTTCCATCAGCATTAAGTGTCTTCCAAATGGTAAGTTAATGTGTATAAAATTTTTTGTTCTAATGATAAGGCCCCTCAAGGGAGGCTCCTTGATGCTGGTGAGGGGCTCTTGATATAGGGAATTGGATCTGTGCTCCAGTCCCTGAATTGAGCCTGAATGCCTTCCATCCCCCCACAGGTTTAGTGCTCCTCATTATTATAGTAATCTAATGATAAGATTAGGCGAAAATCTTCCCTAGTCTCTGTAAAAATATTCCCATTAACCATTTCTAACAGTCAGATCCTAAATTAATATACAGTCCACACAACTTTAATTTACCAGAGTAGCTGGTTTTAATGTTGTAATTATTAATTTAATGTCAGGTCTAGCTTTTTGTGAGTAGTAGGGAGTGGGCATCGAGGGAGTGACAGTTTAGCGACATACTGTGACTGTCCCACTTACCTTACCCAAATTACTTACAGGTAATTGCTCACATAATAATTATAAAAAGTGAGGCCTTCCACTGACTTAACCCCCTCCTTCTATTGAAAACTGAATATTAGTTAAATACGGCAAGGGACGGGTAGCCGTATGTGAGATAAGAACAGGAAATGATAATCATATGATGTGATAATAAGACGGAAATGTAGTTTATTTACAACTCCATGAAAAAGCAAGTTGACTCAACATTCATCAGTATAAAGAGGAAAATATTTACACTTAAACCCCACATGGTTATTAAAGTTTGGTTGGTTTGTAATTAATCATAAATATGTATATAATTCTGAAGGTATTACGTTGCAAAGAGCATCATTTTTAATAATTAAACTTTATTGCAGGAAGTTAATTAATTTTCACTTGTATTCACAAAAAAAGAAAACGTACAAGATCTTTGTAAAAGAGAACGCTGCATATTTAATTACCATTTTTATCGAGATTAAATATGCTACAAGAGGTATAAGTTAGCTAACACCTTGGTATATAACTACTATAATAATAATTTTGAGTTGTGTTGAGTTAAAGTTGAGTTAAAACACTATTAAAACTGTGTGTATATATATATGTGTGAGAGAGTACCGTTGTGACGTCACATGTTTGGATGTTTGAGAGCTGGGTGTTGCTGGCGTGGGTCAAGCTTATATCATGTATTATATCACCTTGAAGCTTCTTTGGTTAATTTACCTGCCGTTATGTGCTTATGCAGGTGAGTGAGAGGTGATAGTGTGTACACTACTGTCTCTCAATGTTATTATTACTCTCCTCTAACTCGCCCACCCCACCCACATTACTCACTTGTCACTCATTATTTAAACCACCTGTACTGTTATATATATTACTGTCCATTTACTCGTATTCATCAGTATTAGAACCATTTACATTATCTTACATACGATAGAAGCCTCAAAATCTGCAGGTTTGCCTGAGATACAAAATTTATCTGCGTGTTTATAATTAAATAATAATTTAAAAGATAATGACTAAAAGCGACATCAGCATTAATTTTGTATATATTCTGATGTTATAATAACAACCCGGGTTAATCAAGTGTAACATCATAACTCCCACAAGGTTGGTTCATTGTTAACAAACATTTAAAATTTGTTGCTACTATCAAAAATTTTTTTTTGTATTTTGGTTTCCTAATGTAAGAGTTGCTTCTCTGTGCTTCAAACTAATCTATGTTGGTTCACTTGTAAATAAGGAAAGTTATTTGCTTTGTGTATCTTGACTCGACTGAACAGTTATGAGTCATCATAAAACTGTAGTTAAATGCCTAAAAAAATCCTTTTTAACTGAAGATCACTGAATTAGTATGAGATTTTTCTTATTATACCAGGATAACCCAATATAAGACTTTTTTTTTTTTGGGGGGGGGGTTATCCTAGTATGTAACTTTATTTAGGTACAGGTACACAAATACAGTAACACAGATTATCATACATAGTAACATGTATAAATTACCTAGAATAACAAAAAAATCATAAAAAGTGACTTATTTCTATTGGGGTTCTAAGTAATTTACACATGTTAAACTATGTATGATTATCATACTTGTGTGTACCTGTACCTAAATACATGTACACTTAAATAAGTAATCCTACTTAATAGTCTTAATTGTTAAGTAACAGTTACGCTTGAATTGCTTTGCCTATCAAATGTTTTATTATATGTAAACTACAGTATGTTTATACCACAAAAATAAATAAAAAATTGACTTTGAATAGTTGCTAGCGCACTTAGCTCACACACTGAGGTCTGGGGATTGATCCCCAGTATAGATGGAAACATTAGGGCATGTTTCCATAAGACACCTGCTGCCCATGTTCAACCATCAGTAAAATAGGCATGTGGGTGCTTGTTGACTGGCGTGGGTCGTATTCTGGGGACAAAATTGACCTAATTTACCCCTTGTTATGCTCTGCATAACAAGGGGTTATATATATAGTAGTAGGTTATATATATAGTACAGACCCCTGGCAGCCTTCAAGCTGGCACTGGACAAGCACCTAAAGTCAGTTCCTGATCAGCCGGGCTGTGGCTCGTACGTTGGTTTGCGTGCAGCCAGCAGCAACAGCCTGGTTGATCAGGCGCTGATCCACCAGGAGGCCTGGTCACAGACCGGGCCGCGGGGGCGTTGACCCCCGAAACTCTCTCCAGGTAAACAGTCGTACTTTGACTGATGAGTGCCCCAACTTAAGAGTTTTCCAAGTTAGGAGTCATTGAGTTGCAAGCCAAAATCTGAGTTACAAGTGAGCTTCAGATATGCTGCCACAAATTGGCAGCATATCTGAAGTCAAATTCAACTCTGTACCCAGAGGAATGTCAGGTACTTCGTCCCGTCCCACATGCTCTTCCAAGACATAACTGGAAGGATAATACTCCCACACTAATCCCAGATTGTAGTTAGGCACCCTGTCCCTTTTAGGGTTCTTGTATAAATCCAGAGAAGAGGTAATCTCCATTTCAACACTCAGTTTTTCCAGAAACATTAGTTAAGGTGGGTGAAGTGCTGATAGTGGAGGGTGGAGTAGTCATGGTGGTTGGTGGAGTAGTGATGGTGGTGGATTGAGTAGTGATGGTGGATGGAGTAGTGATAATGGTGGGTGGAGTAGATATGGTGGTGGGTGTAGTAGAGATGGTGGTGGGTGGAGTATACATTTTTCTTGTTTATAACCCCATAAAAAAATTGGGTTGGTTTTTTGGGGGGCTGAAATGGATTAATGGCATTTCAATTAATTTCATTGAGGAAAATTAATTTGATATACAAGCAAATTGAGTTATGAGCTCGGTCATGGAACGAATTAGACTCATAAGTCAAGGTACCACTGTACAGTGGACCCCCGACTTATGATGTTAATCCGTTCCAGAGAGCACATCGTAAGACAAAATTGTCGTAAGTCGAATTAATTTTCCCCATAATAAATAATGGAAATCAAATTCATCTGTTCAAGATACCCAAAAGTATGAAATTTTTTTTTTTTACCACTTGTAATATACATTTTCCTACACACAAAAAGAAGGATACATGCACAATATATATTGTGCATGTACTAGTGTACTAAATGAAGAATAAATGGCACTAACCTTTATTGAAGATGTGGTGATGAGTGATGAGATACTGTGTCCTGGAAGTGCCTTTTCCTCTTGAGTAATGTAGGTCCTGTTTGGCATTTTCTTCCAGAACAGGCCTTATCACACTGTATGCCACTACGATTCTTAACCCTTTCAGGGTCCAAGGCCAAAATCTGAAGTGGTGCCCCATTGTCCAAGAATTTAAAAAAAAATTTTTTTGTTATTTTTTCTTATGAAATGGTAGAGAATCTTTTTGTGAAGGTAATAAAGCAAAAAGTACAAAATTTGATGGAAAATTGACGAAATTATGCTCTCGTGAATTTTGATGTGTCAGCAATATTTACAAATTGGCGATTTTTCCGACTTTGACTCCCATTTTAGGCCAATTACATTATTCCAGTCGACCAAATTCTTAGCTATTTCACTAGTATTACTTCTATTCTATCGAGTGAGCACAAGAAATCGCCAAGTCAGCTGTTTCGACTACAAAATAAAGTGATTGGAAATTGGTAATTTGGCCAATATAACACAAAGTTCAAAATATTCCAATTTCAAAATAGTGTCCAGAAAAAACAATGTAGGTATTCCTGGCACTAAACTAACATTTCCTCTGTTCATTAGTTACGTTTTGAGGCTTTACACATAAATTCCATTTTGATTTTTTATTCACACCAAAAAATAGAAGATTTACTGTTATGCAATATTGTAATAATTGTATAAATATCATCACCACATTTATGAATGTATATTAGACCCACCAGTTGGCGTGTATTAGACGTGTGAGGTCGTTGGTTTACTCTTGAACATCTGCAAAAATTTAACATTTCCGCTACTTTGAGCTCAGTTTCAAGCCATTTCCAGTGCTAAAACCAATCAAAATCATCTCTATTTCTGTAATATGTCTTCCATTCTATCAAATGAGACCAAGAAATCGCAAATACAACTATAAAAAACATAGGAAAAAACACTGCAAAGTCGCTGTTTTAATCGAAAATCACGGTCTGTTTTTTCTCTCATTATACCCAGTATGCTGCAGGATTTGTTTAATGTAGTACACACATACCACATAGATGTATTCTCTCATATCTAGGCCCAAATTTACCACTCACGGTTTATCAGAGTGAGCTGAGCTCATGGCGTAGATCTACGGTTTGGACCCTGAATGTAAAGCCGTAGATCTACGGGACAGACCCTGAATGTAAAGCCGTAGATCTGCAGGACGGACCCTGAATGTAAAGCCGTAGATCTACGGGACGGACCCTGAAAGGGTTAAATCTCTCAAACCAACCTTTGCTGGCCTTAAATTCACCAATATGAGCACTAGTTCCAGGCATTTTTTCCTTTTCACTTGGGTGTTAGTTTACTGGTGTGGGTTGCATCCTGGGGGACAAGATTAAGGACTCCAGTGGAAATAAGTTAGACAGTCCTTGATGACACACTGACTTTCTTGGGTTATCCTGGGTGGCTAACCCTCTGGGGTTAATTGTTTCTCGGTATTCTCGATAAGCCACACCAACAACAGTCTCTCCACATCTTTGAGTAGTACAGCTGACCGTGGTATGATAGTATTTCGATAGTATTTCTCACCCTAACAGGGTTGGCACTAGAAGCTTTCTTTGGGCCCATGGTGGCTTATTTAGCAGTTACAAGCACTAAAAACACTGGGATAATACAAAATTTATTGAATGTATGCGTGCAACTGTGTCTGCCCCGGCTTATAAACAATGTCACACTAGCTCAGCCGAGGCGCTCAGGCCAGACGGCCGCATTCGGGACGAATGATGTAAGTCGAGTTTTTCAACATAGGTCGGGGTCAAATTTTTACGCTGACAAGCATTGTAAGTCAGTTTTATCGTAGGTTGAGGCCATCGTAAGTCGGGGGTCCACTGTATGTCATTGATGCTGGCTAGGCCTGTATACCTTGTACATGTAGAAATAAAGATTATGATGCTAAAAATTCAGATATGTTAGGCAAAAGGACACACACATGCAACTAGTATGACATTTTATTGGGGCAATGTTTCACTTACCAGGAGCTTTGTCAAGCTCCTGGTGAGTGAAACTTTGCCACAGTAGAATGTCTTATTAGTTGCATGGGTCCCTTTATATACCATTCACTCATTTAACCCTACCTCACCTATGCTATTTGTGCTTAGGGATCAACTGCAGCAACACACCTAAAGCCAATAACCCAACAGAAAGCTGCAGTAAGAATAATCACGCAATCCAATCCCAGGCAAACATCCCCCTCCCCACTCTTCATAGACCTAAACTTACTGTTCAGAACATCCACACTTATTACTATGCAACTACATTTACAGAACCTTAAATTTCAGTATTAACCCTGACCTAAAACACTTTCTTGATAGTTGTGACAGGACCCACAGGCACAACACCAACCACAAACATCTCTATGACATTCCCCGTGTCCAGCTAAACCTATACAAAAATTTAATGTACATAAAAGGGCCTAAAATCTGGAACACCCTACCTGAAAACTCAACAACTGCAGACACATTCATCACTTTCAAAACTACTGTTACAAAACATCTCGTCTCCCTGATACACCCCACTGTCAGCTAACTACACGAAAACCGCCTATTCTCTTGTATCGTACACGCAAAAAAACCTAGACCTCCCCTTGATATCTGTGATTCCCTACAATTCGCACTTACACTCGCCCAATTGACTATAAACGTAGAAATACGTACTACAACTACAGTGGAACCTCAAATATCGAACTTTTTTCGATCCAAAAGGCTGTTCGCGTGCCTTTATTGAATGAATTTATTCCCATCAGGAATAATGTAAATTAGATTAGTCCATTTCAGACCCTCAAAAATGCACTTATAAAAGCACTTACAAAAATACGTTTACATAATTGGTTGTGTTGGGAGCAGTTCGATTTTTGAGGTTCCATTGTATTACCTAATGAATCTTAACTAGTCATAAGTTTGCCTGTGATACTCCTATATAGAAACTATGTATTGTGCCAAAACAAAACTACGTATTCACATTCCTAAATTTAAGAACTGTAATGCAGTTACAGTGGACCCCCGGTTAACGATATTTTTTCACTCCAGAAGTATGTTTAGGTGCCAGTACTGACCGAATTTGTTCCCATAAGAAATATTGTGAAGTAGATTAGTCCATTTCAGACCCCCAAACATACACGTACAAACGCACTTACATAAATACACTTACATAATTGGTCACATTCGGAGGTAATCGTTATGCGGGGGTCCACTGTACTTAGCCTTAATACCAATATGCTCCATAATCTGTACCAATATAGTGTTTTGAATAAACCCTTTCAGGGTTTTGGCCGTACTAGTACAGCTTACGCACCAGTGTCCATGACATACTAGTACGCATAAATTCTAGCGCCTTCAAATCTAGTAGGTCAGTGTGCGCAGTATAAAAAAAATCCTGCAGCACACAATGCATAATGAGAAAAAAAAAACTTTGACAGTATTTTTGGATTAAAACAGCGACTTTGCACTGTATTTTCGTATGGTATTTATGGTTGTATTCTAGTTTTCCTGGTCTTATTTTATAGAATGGAAGACGTATTACAGAAATTGAGATGATTTTGACTGGTTTCACAATGAAAAGTACCTTGAAATTGAGCTCAGAGTAGCAGAAATGTTCGATTTTTGCCAAAGTTCATAAGTAAACAAATCATGCCACGCATCCAATACACGTCAACTGGTGAATCTGATATTCTTTCACAAGTGTGCTGGCATTATTTATACCATTTCTACACTAATACAGTAGTCTGCATAATAGTAAATCTTCTATTTTTTGTGAGAATAAAAATTCGAAGTGGAAAGCAAAAGAAATGTAAGAGGGGCGTGGGGATGTGACTAATCAACAGAGGAAATGTTATTTTAGTGCCAGGAATGTCTTTCTTGTTTATTCTGGACCCTATTTGGAAATTGGCATCTTTTGAAATTTGTGTGAAATTGGCAAAATTGCTAAATTCTGACCACTTTATTGGATAGTTGAAATTGGTAAATGGGTGGTTTCTTGTACTCATTCGACAGAAAAAACGGAGTTCTAGCGAAATAGTTATGATTTTTGTCGACTAGTACACTGGAATTGGCCGAAAATAGGGCTCAAAACGGGCAAAATTGCCAATGCGTGAACATTGTCGAGATCATTAACTTCGTGAGAGCATAATTCCATACGTTTTCCATCAAATTTCATACTTTTGGTGTCATTATGATCGGGAAAAGATTCTCTATCTTTTCATAAGAATTTTTTTTTTTTTTTTTTTAAATTTTGGCGACCTTGAGAACAAGTCTCTGAGAGGACCTGGTGACCCTCAAAGGGTTAACAACACTGCACAATTTTGCAACCAATGAATTTTGTCCATTATTTCCAAATCAATTGACCCAGCCGACTTTTTGTATTTCTGAGGTCCATTTTATGGAGATCCTTCGTCATCAGTAGATTACATATGTTGATCTGTAGTATTGTACAGTATATGCACATACATTTCAATATTATTTTTATATTTTAATATTTTTGTTTTATTTGTTTATTCTATCTGGTAACTATTTCTTACAGATTACTGCGAGTATCCACTACTAAACTCTGCTAGATTGACAGCATCATCTGAGCTTGTCACCAGAGAAGCAAATAAAGCAAGATTATATGGTAAGTATAAAAAATTTTTTATTGATTTTTTGAGTCTTGCTATATAGTATGTATAAATTGCACAATGTTAATTTACTCTTCTGTAAGATGTATATATCCTGTGTGGGTGTTCTAGAGAAAAAATCTAGTATAAACAGTATATACGTACCAGCTTAACAAGGGTTTCTTTCCTGGCAGACTGATTCCAAATCTTCAAGATAAACATGTTTCCCATTTTGACTCCTATTATATTTATTAAGATCCTGTATGCTCCAGCTAAACTATAAGAACAAGTTGAAAATTTATCCATTAAATTTAATACTGCGGTGAAGTACAATAACCTCTCGCAAAATTACTACCAGTTGTTACAGGGCAGTTGGTCTTCAAACAAGTTCTGTGTTTTGTGAACCCTTCACCAAAAACCCTAGGATGATGTTCTGGTCAATCCTGATCTATTGATTTGACCATGGTTTAGGACATGCTGGAATGTCATCCTAATGTTCCTCTCCTAATGGAAGTTTTGTTGAATTGTTCAAGCTGCAGTACTACTGTCACTCTTTTTCTTTAATGAACCCTTTTTTTCCACATACACACGAATGTTATAATCATAGATTCCTACCAGGATTGTAATATTCCATGTACAGTGGAACCTCGGCTTACGAATTTAATCTGTTCTGTGACCTTGTTCATATCACGATTTGTTTGTATGCCGAGTCAATTTTCCTCATTTAAATTAATTGAAATGGCATTAATCCGTTTCAGCGGAATTCCTGCTCTTAGGAGGCACGACAAAATACAGTGGACCCCCAGTATTCGATGGCATCGGTATCCGTTAAATCCGGTATTCGGTACATTTTAACGCAAAAATTTTGCCTCACCACTCGTTAAAAAACCCGCCATACGCGATTCGTCCGAGACGTGTCCACATGTGGCGTGAACTGCCCCGTGCGTGCCAGTGTTTACAAGCCAGCCAGTGTGCTCGCATCTAAGGATACATTCCATATTATCACAGTGTTTTTGGTGCTTGTTTCTGCAAAATAAGTCACCATGGGCCCCAAGAAAGCTTCTAGTGCCAATCCTGGGGTAAAAAGGGTGAGAATTAGTATGGAAATTAAGAAAGATTTTGAAGGGTTTGGGGCTAGCCCTGAGAAGCCTATGCCAGTCGTGGAATCCATTGTGCCTACTTCAAAAATTAAGGAAATGTGTGCAAAGTGGGTTGAACTGCAAACCTTTATGGATGAAAATCACCCTAACACAGCTATTGCAAGCTGTGCTGGTGACTATTACAATGACAATGTTGTGGCCCATTTTAGACATATCGTAAAGGAACGGGAGGTACAGAGCTCTATGGACAGATTTGTTGTACGACAGAGGTTCATTGATTCTCAAGCAGGTCCTAGTGGCATTAAAAGAAGGGAAGTAACCCCAGAAATGGACTTGCTACCTCAAGTCCTAATGGAAGGGGATTCCCCTTCTAAACAATAAGTTCGACACTCTCCCCTCCTCCTATCCCATCAATCATCACCAGATCTTCATTAAAGGTAAGTGTCATGTATTCTATTGTTAGTAGAGTACTATGTGCATGTCTTCTTCAGTTTGTGTGCATTAAACTTAATATTTCATGTTGGTAAAATTTGTTTTTCATACTTTTGGGTGTCTTGCACGGATTAATTTGATTTCCATTATTTCTTATGGGGAAAATTAATTCGCCTTTCGATAATTTTGGCTTACGATGAGCTCTCAGGAACGGATTAATATCGAATACCGGGGGTCCACTGTACTTCAGTATGATGCTAATATCAAATCTACGGCTTATTTATATATCACAGTTCATCTAATTTCACCATCACTCAAGGAATGCACAACAGGTGCATCATCGTCAGTGTTCAGCATTTCTTCGATGTCAGCTTCCTGTAACTCCATTAGCACACAGTCAAGACGAGTAAATAGAATTGTCAACACTTATTGCTTGGGTACATTTATTCTGTTAGTGGGCTGGATCTGTGAAGGACCTGCCTAGTATGGGCCAACAGGCCTACTGCAGTGTTCCTTCTTTCTTATGTTATTATGTACCCACGACACCAATCATACCCAGCCCCTCCCACTCATATATTTGTCCACTCTCTTTTTAAAGCTACCCAAGGTTCTGTCGAAGCTAAAACCTTGGGTAGTTTCAAATTTAGGTTGGATAAATACATGAGTGAGAGTGAGAGTGGGACTTGCATGTGAGTAAATAGAATTATTAAAGCTTATTGCTTGGGTAGTGTTTATTCTGTTAGTGGGCTGGATTTGTGAAGGACCTGCCAAGTATGGGCCAACAGGCCTGCTGCAGTGTTCCTCCGTTCTTATGTTGATGAGTGGAACAATCTGCCTTGTATGGTTATTGAGGCTAATGTAATTCCTATATTTAAAGCTGGGGACAAGTTGTTATCGTCAGATTACCGCCCAATAAGCCTGACCTCAATTGTAGGCAAATTACTAGAGTCAATTATAGCTGAGATTATAAGAAGTCATCTGGATAAGCATAATCTGATTAATGATACTCAGCATGGACTCACGAGAGGCCGTTCTTGTCTAACTAATTTGTTAACTTTCTTCAGTAAAGCTTTTGAGGCTGTTGATCACGATAAAGAATTTGATATTATTTACTTGGATTTTAGTAAGCCTTTGGATAGAGTACTGCACCAGAGACTGTTAAAGAAAGCGGCAGCTCATGGCATGGATCGAGTCATGGCTCACAGACAGGAAGCAGAGAGTGTCCATAAATGGGGTTAAATCCGAGTGGGGATCTGTAACAAGTGGCATTCCACAGTGATCAGTCTTGAGCCCATTGTTGTTAAGAACATAAGAATGGAGGAACACTGCAGAAGGCCCACTGGCCCATACAAGGCAGGTCCCCATCAAAACGACCTCCACCCAAAGCTACCTAAGAACCCACTCCCACACCCAACAACACAAATCAAACCCAGCCTCTCCCACCCATATATTTGTCCAATGTCTTTTTAAAGCCACTTAAAGTCCTAGCCTCGATCACCCTACTGGGAAGATTGTTCCACACATCCACAACTCTGTTAGAAAACCAGTACTTACCTATGTCCTTTCTAAATCTAAATTTATCCAACATAAATCCATTATTCCTGGTTCTTACCTGGTTCGATACCCTCAGTACTTTATTAATATCTCCTTTGTATATGCCCGTCATCCACTTAAACACTTCAGTGATATCATCCCCTCATTCTTCGTCTCTCCAGAGAGTGGAGATTTAAGGCTTTAAGTGTATCTTCATACGGGAGATTCCTTACACAGTAAATCATTTTAGTCATTCTTCTCTGTATGTTCTCCAATGAGTCTATATCCATCCTGTAGTAATGAGACCAAAACTGAGGGCATAATCTAAATGAGGCCTCATTAGTGATGTATATAGCTGTAAAATAACTTTTGGGCTTCTCTTACTTATACTTCTTGAGATAAATCCAAGTAATCTGTTAGCCTTGTTGCACACACTTAGGCACTGCTGTCTTGGCTTTAGATTTCTGCTTACCATGACTCCCAAGTCTTTTTCACATTCTGTATGATCAAGCTCTACTTCACCTAGTTTATAGCTTCGAGGGTTATTTTCATTACCAAGGACTAGTACCTTACATTGAACTTTATCTGCCATTTTTCAGACCAAGACATTAATTTGTCCAAATCCTCGTGGAGTTCAGCTATCCTCCTCAGAATGAATCATATGGCCTATCTTTGTATCATCTGCAAATTTGCTAATGTCACTCGTAATCCCTTCGTCAAGGTCATTAATGTAAATTATGAACAAGAGAGGGCCCAAAACTGATCCTTGTGGAATGCCACTAGTGACTAATCCCCTTTCAGATTTGACCCCATTAATGGAAACTCTCTGCTTTCTATTGATAAGCCATGCTTCTATCCATGCTCGAACTTTACCTCCTATACCATGAGCTGCCACTTTTCTTAAGAGTCTCTTGTGAGGTATTCTATCAGAGGCTTTACTAAAATCCAGATAAACAATATCATATTCTTTATCACTGTCTACTGCCTCAAATGTTCTGTTGAAGAACCTCAGTAAATTTGTCAGGCCAGGCAGGAACAACCTCTTGTGAACCCATGCTGAGATTCATAAATCAAATTATGCTCTTCAAGGTGACTTCTAATAATGTCATCTATAATTGATTCTAATAACTTGCTCACTATAGATGTCAGGCTTATTGGGCAGTAATTTTAAGGAACGGACTTATTCCCTGATTTGAATATAGGAACCACATTAGCCATCTTCCACAACTCTGGGACAACATCAGTAAGGATGGACACAGTAAACACACTTGTTAATGGCTGACTAAGTTCCATCTTGCATTCCTTAACCCTTAAACGGTCTAAACGTATATATACGTTCACGCTCGTAGCGCCCCAAACGTATATATACGTTTTCTTTGTCATTCATTCAACATTGCCACGATAAGCCTGAGTCACCTAGACATGAGAGAATGGGTGTGCGCACTCACTGTGCGCCATATTAAAATAATTGGGGATGCCTGGGTACCATATGCTCTTATTTCCTTTTAAATTTTTTTTTTTTTTTTCTCAAAAAAATTTGGGGCACTACGCGAGTGAACGTATATATACGTTTGGACCGTTTAAGGGTTAAGTACCCTGGAAAGCAACTCGTTGGGCCCTAGGGACTTACTTTGCTTCAGTTTGTCTATCTGTTTGATAACCATGTCCCTCGTGACAGTAATATTAGTTAATTTGAATGAATCTCATTTGTGTCTTCCTGTGTAAAAACTGACAAAAAATAGCCATTAAATAAGGAACACATTTCCATTTCGTTATCCGTCAGCTGTCCATTCCCAGTTTTCAGAGAACCTACTTTTTCCTTCACCTTCGTCCTATACACTTGAAAGAACCCCTTCGGATTGGTCTTTGATTCATTAGCAACCCTAATTTCATAGTCATGTTTAGCCTTTCTAATCCCCTTTTTTACTTCTCTTTTAAGCTGAGCATATTGG